AATAATATGGCAGATAATGTTATAAAGTCTTAAAAGGAAATATTCTGGATAAATTGTAACAAACACTTTCAAATGCAAAGTAAGGAAAATCCCCAGCATCCCCACCCAATTCAGAGAAGCTGGAAATCACCACTGTAAGCAGGCCCTAAAATAACCAAAGATTAGAGACTAGACATTTGCCAAAAGCCGGCAGGAAGTTTGAATGGAGACTGTGAACTGTAATATATACATATATATATGTATATGTAAACATGGGTTAACAAAGGCTGGTAATACTTCAGTGAAATGGTAGGTCTGAAAAAATCTGCTTATGGGAAAGGGAAACAGGGAAGCTTGTCAGTTTTGGCTTGGATTTTGAGTGAGAAAAATATGTCCTAAAAATTTGCTATCACAGGTCTGTCCTCATACAGACTAAGAGTTTTAACTGACATTTCTAGCTTGGTTCAGGAAATGTGTAGCTGAGAAATTATCAAAATGGCCCCTGGTGATGCCCCTAAGTAAGTAGCATTTAGCATAATCTCTCTGATGTGACATATCTTCTACCCAGGCTTCACAGGAGTCTACAGTAAACTCTCACTAAAGATTAGCTCATGGACTTCCCTGGCAGTCCAGTGGTTAAGACTCTGCGCTCCCAATGCAGGGGGCATGGGTTCGATCCCTGGTCAGGAAACTAAGATCCTGTATGCTGTGCTTTGTGGCCTAAAAAAAAAAAAAAAAAAAAAAATTAGCTCACAATCTTAAATTATAAAACATGAACCTCTATGATTAAGAGTCAACAGAGGGACTTCCCTGGTGGTCCAGTGGTTAAGACTTCACCTTCCAATGCAGGGGGTGCAGGTTCAGTCCCTGGTCAGGGAGCTAAGATCCCACATGCCTCACAGACAAAAAACCAAAATGTAAAGCAGAAGCAATATTGTAACAAACTTAATAAAGACTTTAAAAATGGTCCACATTAAAAAAAAAATCTTAAAAAAAAATCAACAGAATCAATAATTAACAGAATTAGATTCCCAGAGACTTCAGAAAATGGTATTATTGAAACAGTATAAAATAAGTGTAGGGCTTCCCTGGTAGCGCAGTGGTTGAGAGTCCGCCTGCTGATGCAGGACACATGGGTTCGTGCCCCGGTCTGGGAGGATCCCACATGCCGCGGAGCGGCTGGGCCCGTGAGCCATGGCCACTGAGCCTGCACGTCCGGAGCCTGTGCTCCGCAACGGGAGCGGCCACAGCAGTGAGAGGCCTGCATACCGCAAAAAAAAAAAAAAAAAAAAGTGTATTTAAAATGTATTAAAGAAATAAAAGATGAAATAAAAATGAAAAAAGAACAATATACAATTCAACAAGGAAGAACTAAATGCCACAGAATAAAGAAATAGTAACCTGGAAGATATATCTAGAGAAATTACCCACAGGAAGCATAATTTCCATTTTCACATGGGCATATGAACCAATTCTGGGTGTGAGACCCAAGTAAAGGTCTGCTGAGACTGTTTCAGGGAATGTTTTTGCTTCGTTGGCTCCTTTCTGACATGAATTCTGAAATGGCGAGGATTTGGAGCAGTTGAAACTCTCATATGTTCTTTTGGGAATGCAAAATAGTACAGTCACATTCTAAGAATGGGTTAGCACTTTGTTACGTAAAGTTAAATACATGCTTAACATGTAGGGAGTGTTGAATTCCAGGGACCCAGGAATCCCATTTTTAGGTAACTACCCAAGAAAAATGAAAACTATGTTCCCACAAAACTTTGTGAATAGTTATAGCAGCTTTATTCAAAATTGTCAAAGACTTCAAGTAATCCAAATGCCCTTCAGTTGGTGAATAAAGAAATTGTGGTATATTCATTGCAGTGGAATGCTTCTCAGGAATAAAAAGGAACAAATTACAAAAGCATGCAGCAACACAGATGAATCTTTGTTAAATGCATTATGCAAAATGAAAGATGTCAGATTCAGAAGGCCCAGTTACTTAATGATTCTATTTATATGACATTTTGGAGAAGGCAGAACACTGGGGAACAGAACGAAGATAAGTGGTTGCTTGGGGTTGGTGGGAGGGATTGTCTGCAAAGGGACACTAGAGAATTTTTGGGTCATGGAACTGTTCTATATCTTTATTATGGTGGTAGTACATGACTGTATGCATCAGTCAAAACTCGTTGAACTAACTACACCAAAAAGTAATTTTTTTTGCTATATGTAAATTATCCCGCAGTTAAAAGGAAAACAAAAATGAATAACAGGATAGTGATTACAGCGTGCAGAGTAAACTTACTGAAGAAATATGGTTGAAGAGGATGTGGGGGTCAACAGAAGGCTTTTGTTTTTAAGGCAAATAATAGAGCATAAATTGTATGTTAAGAGTGATTCAGGGGCTTCCCTGGTGGCGCAGTGGTTAAGAATCTGCCTGCCGGGCTTCCCTGGTGGCGCAGTGGTTGAGAATCTGCCTGCCAATGCAGACAACACAGGTTCGAGCCCTGGTCTGGGAAAATCCCACATGCCATGGAGCAACTGGGCCCGTGAGCCACAATTACTGAGCCTGCGCGTCTGGAGCCTGTGCTCCGCAACAACAGAGGCCGCGATAGTGAGAGGCCTGCGCACCGCGATGAAGAGTGACCCCCACTTGCCACAACTAGAGAAAGCCCATGCACAGAAATGAAGACCCAACACAGCCATAAA